TCACCCATCCATAGCGTGTAGTCTTGGGACATTGCCATCCTGAACCTTTCACGCCTCAGTTTTCTCACCTGTGAAAATGTGGGCTGATAATGGGGCTCCATCCCCCAGCGGATGGAAGGGGGAAGAGCCTACTTATTCCCCCACGGCTTGGGAAATGGCAGACTGTTGTCACAGTATCCACAGACGCCTGGGCTGAATCCACATCCATGTGGATGTGAAGGACACAGTCGAGCACCTATGAAGAACATATAAAACTACGGACAAGGCCGGCACGTGACTCACGGCTGTAATCCTAGCACTCTGGGGCTGAGGCCGGCAGATTGCTCGAGTCAGGAGTTCAAAACCAGCCTGAGCAAGGAGCGAGACCCCGTCTCCACTAAAATAGAAAGAAATTAATTGGAGCCAACTATTATACATAGAAATTAGCCGGGCATTGTGGCGCATGCTGTAGTCCCAGCTACTCGGGGAGGCTGAGGCAGCAGGATTGCTTGAGCCCAGGAGTTTGAGGTTGCTGTGAGCTAGGCTGATGCCATGGCACTCACTCTAGCCTGGGAAACAAAGCGAGACTCTGTCTCAAAACAAAAACAAAAACTAAAAAAAACTACAGGACAAGAAAATTAGAGGACAAACGCTGTCCCAAGCAGCACCTGACCACACGCACCAGTTGAGAGCACAGACTCTGGAGCTGGATCAGCTCTGAGACTGGGCCAGTTATGAAGCACCCAGAGCCTCGATTCCTTCACTTATAAAATGGAGACAGTGACAATAGTGACTTCATAGGTTAACTGGCACAATTAAATGAGTTAATACGTAAAGTGCAGAGACCCCTGCCTGCCTGTGCACAGTGGCACGTGGCATTAGCTGCCACTAGCAGCAGCAGCACCAGAGGATGTGCATTTGGATGCCTATGACCAGCCAAAAAAAAGAGGTGGAGTTGTCTGTAGGAATCACCTGGTTAAAGAGAGAAGCCAAAGCATGGGGCCGACTCTCTACAACCCCGCAGCCTTACAGGAACAACCTAGAGGGAGGCCGGGGACTTGAGAGGGCTCCACACGTGAAATAAAGAACTCCTACAAAATACGATGGAAAGGGCACACAATCCAATTTTTAAAAATGAACAAAATAGTCAAACAGGCATTTAGCAAAAGAGGCTTTATATGTTTATTGTCCAAATGGCAATAAACACATAAAGAGGTGCTCTCCTTTATTTGTCACCAGGGAAATGCAAATTAAAACCTCAACGAGAGACTACTCCAAACCTACCGGAATGACTATGGTTAAAGAGATGGAAAATACCTACTGTTGGTCATTACCAGAACTCTCACACACTTCTGTTAGGAGCATAAATTGGTAAAACCACTTTGGAAAACTGCTTGGCAGTATCTGTGAAAGATGAACATGCATACACTACGACCCAGCAATCCCTCTGTTAGGTGTACAACCAACCTTAAAATGTACATATGTTCACCAAAAGACAAGCACTAGAATGTCGCAGCAGCACTATTTGTAATCATTGAAAACTGGTAATAGTCCAACATCTATTAATAGTAGACTGGACAGTTTAATCGTAGTCTGTTTATACAGAATTTTACACAGCAATGAAAATGAATGAACTGCAGCCACACAACAACGTGGGGGAATCTCAAAGATCCCGGATACAAAAGACAAGGTTTATATAAAATGCAAAACTAATCTATTAGAAGTTAGCTTAGAATGGTTACCTTAGGGGAGGGGAGCTTTTGAGAAACTGGAAATGCTTTGTTTATCGATTTGGGGTTTGGTTACATGGCTGTATATTCACTTTTTTTTTTTTCTTAATATATCTATTGTGATGAAAACTTTTTGAAAAGTTATTGACTTGTACATTATGATTTGTGTACTTCTCTGTGTTTATACAATACTTAGATAAAAAGGTGATATTAAAACAAACAGGGGTTCCAGTGGCCCCTGCTACCTGGTCATTCCCTTCCTATTCTCAGTTACTGTGGGATCCCCAGCTTATAACCACAGCTACTGCTGACGCCAAATCGACCCAGAGAATCCCGTCTGGATATCTCAACAAGAGCTTCCTGTTTCCTTATCATCTGCCCTTGGTATTTGGAAAGGGCCAGAAACTTTGGAGACCCATGGATTCCTGGCTTCGGGACAGAGAAAATTTCCTCCAATAACTTCCCCACCAAGTGGCTATCTTGAACACCCCTAGTAGAAGGGTCTCACTACCCACTACCTCTGGAGGCAGCTTGCCACTCTAGAAAGTTCTTTCTCACTCTGCGCTTCAGGCAACCCACTGGTAACTCACTGGCTTGGCTGTCTTCTAAACCTTCTTGGAAGTAACTTTAACTACTATTCACTTAAGAACGAAACAAGAAAGGAAACACATTTACTCTCTGACCTGACATGTTAAATATTAGTCTGTTTGCATTGGCCATTTCTAAAACCAAAGCCAATTCAAACATGACCATTGGAAGCGCACGTTAGTAACCAAACTGAAGCTTTGGTTATGAGGTAACATTCTTTTTCATAAAAGAATTCCTCCTAACAAATTAGACATAACCAGACATCGCCACTTTTACAAACCCTACCAAAATAATTGACTCAGGCACAGATCCTGAAAGGACGAGACCATTAGATGAGGATCTTTATGACCAGGAGGTCAGATTGTTGCCACCTGACATGACTGATGGGGCGACAGTGGGACGCGCACTCACACATGGGGTGCGAGGTGAACTGCACCACATGTCCCATGGAGTGGACGACCTTGGCCTTTTGAATTTTATTCCCATCCCACCCAAAAAAACTGAAGCTGAATCAAGTAGACATTAGAGCAACTTGCAGGTTACAGAAAATATAGGCAACAGAGAAACAATATAGATGAAACAGACAAATCTAGAAGGTGGAACATCCCACAGAACTGATCTCTTCAAGCCAGTGGCACAAAAAAGGAAGTCTAACTATGGAGGCAATGTGGGTGTACGCCTTTAGCAAAAGGCATCAAATTGTACACGTGAGATCTACTGTATGTAAATTTTATTCCAGTTTAAAAAAAGAGAGAGACTTAAGAGATATAACAAGCGAATCAAATGTGTGGACCTTGCAAAAATTGTGATTCCAATAAACAAATCACAGAAAAGACATTTTTGAAAGGACATTAAGGGAAATGTGTCTATGGCCTGGGTACTCTGTGAAAACAAGTAAATGTTAGTTTTGGTAGTTGTTATGAAAGAAAATATTCACCACTTTTATTTTTTTATTTTACTTAAAAATGTTTTTAGAGATAGGGTCTCACTCTGTCGCCCAGGCTAGAGTGCAGTGGCACAGTCATAACCCACTATAACCTCGAACTCCTGGGCTCAAGTGATCCTCCTGCCTCAGCCTCCCAAGTAGCTGGGACTACAGATATGTGCCACCATGCCTGGCTAATTTTTAAAAAACTTTTTTTGTAGAGATGGGGTCTCACCATGTTCCCCAGACTGGTCAAACTCCTGGCCTCAAGAGATTCTCTCACCTCAGCTTCCCAAAGTGCTAGAATTACAGGAGTGAGCCACTATGCCCAGCCTGTTTTTAGAGTTACAGATATATGACTAAGATGATGTGAGGTCTGGGACATGCCTTAAAATACTTTATTTACAGGCATTTATGGATCAAGTGTCATAAGGTCTGCAACTTCCTCTCAAATGCATCCACAAAAATATACAAGTGTATATTTATATTTATATAGAGAGAGACAGAAAAAGAGATAAAGCAGGTGTGGTGGGCTGTTAAAATTTGGTTAATCTAGAGGAAAACGACTTTCATTGTACTATTCTTTTAACTTTAGTAGATTTGAACTGTATTCTCATAAAAAGTTGAAAAAAATTCTTCAGTAACAACAAAAAAGAAAAGAAGGAAGGAAGAGAGGGAGGGAGGGAGGAAAGGAAAGAAAGGAGGGAGGGAGGAAAGGAAGGAGAGAGAGAGGGAGGGAAACAAAGAAGCAGCAAGTGTGGGAAAAACCCTGACAATCCTTAAATTGGGGTGATGAGCACGTGGGGTTCGTCACACTGTCCTGCATGGTTCTGTGTGCTGGTCTGGTCCTGTTTCCCCGCACATCTGTGCAAGCCTGCACTGGGCCATGGTGCTTCCCCATGAAGTACCTACCTCGCTTCACCCCACGATGCACCAGCTCTTGTTATCACGAGTTTGCAGATGAGGAAATGGCTCAGAGGGGTGCAGTGGCTTTCTCAACCTCACACACGGCCAAGTTAAGAAGCCAAGGGCTGGACTCAGCCAGTTGGATCCCAGAGCCTGCATTCTTAACTCCCACACTGTCTGATCAGAAGCACCCTAAACCGTCACCTCATCTGGAGAGAACTCATGCTAACTCTACGGTTTCTGGCTTTAACACGCCCTAAGGAACTTCTCTCCCTCCTTTCAGCGCTGCAGCCGTGACCCAGGGTCATCTAGGGCTCCCTTGCCTTGTGCAACAGTAAAGGCCAAGTTCTGTGTTTGGACCGACACCTCTTCTGTAGCACTTCTGTGTTTCTAGCAGCATTTCCTCCTGTGTCCACTTCCTCTATCTTAGCAATCAAACCGATGGCCAAGCCTACCTCCCTGAAGCCCCACACGGTGACCCTGCCACTGTGTGGCAAAAAACTACTCTCCACCTACACGTCCCTACCCAAATTCCTCAGTCTGCCATTCTGACTATACTCTTCCCAGGCTGTGTGACCTTGGGCAAATGGCCTCATGTCTCTGAGCTTCAATCTTCTTACCTATAAAGTGGTGCCAATAATAGCACCTGCTCCAGAGTTGGTATAAAAGTCAATTGAGATCAGGTGAGGAAACCTCACCTTACATTACATGGTGCCTGGCACACAGTAGGTACTGACTAATGTCCCCTTTCATAATGTGGCCTCATCTCTCCCGCCCTCCATTCCTGGCATCCACCCACTTGCCCAGTCTCCCCTGTGTCTGGATGGGCCGGCCCACAGTTCGCACATCCCCTCTGCCCTCCCCAGACTCACCCCCTGCGAGTGCAGATACTCCACCGTCTTGCTGATGGTGTGCAGGACGCAGCTGGCCTCCCGCTCCGAGAAGAACTTCTGCCGCAGGATCTTGTCTAGTAGCTCCCCGCCCCGCATCAGCTCCGTCACCAGGTACACGTGTTTGCCGTCATCGTACACCTGCCGCGGACCTTACATCAGGGTCCCCTCCCCAGTACCAGGCCCAGGCCCCCTGGGCACCAGCTCCGGGGACCAGGGAAGACTGACAGGAGCCCCAGCCATGTGTCCTGCTCTGTGCTTCAGTGTCCCTGGCAGGGCCTTGCCCCATCTGGGCTCCTGTCCTGCCTGGATGGGGGACACTGGCTCTGGGCCTCTGCTGAGCAGGAGGGCTCTCAGGGAATGCCTATGTCTCAAGTGAAGAGCCCCTGGGGTGTGATCAGACCAGAGGGACTAAGGGTCCTCCTCTGCTCATGAGCACTGGGGGAAGGATCAAAAGTCAAAGGAATGGCAGCCTCAAGACAAACCCGAGAGCTCTGGGCACCCGGCGCCCACCCCAGTGTCCGGGGCCCCACTCACATCTTTCAGAGTGATGATGTTGGGGTGCTGCCCGTACCGCAGGAGAATCTCTATCTCCTCCGAGGGATCCCGCTTGCTCTTGTCAATGACCTGAAGAAAGGAGTGCATGTGGCAGTGTCAGGCTGACAGACTCTAGCGTCCCTCCCTGCTACCGAGCCACACCACAGGGCCTAGGGGTCGCAGCTGCCCTCCTTTCACCCGTCCGCAGAGCCCGGGCACCACCCCTCCCCGCCAAAGGGCCACAGCTACATTGGCCTCACCCCCAGCCCAGCAGCCTTGGCCGAGACGCAGTCAGGAGGCCCACCTTGACAGCATACTCCATGTTGGTGGCCTTGTGGACACAGCGCTTGCACACAGAGTAGGAGCCCACACCGATTGTCTCCTTTACCACGTAGCCATCGCTAAAAACCAGGTTCTTCCCATGGAGTTGCTGCAGGAGACCAAGATGTGGGCCTGACCCCTGGCTCTGGAGTGCCAGGGGCCACCGCAGCACCCCAGGCCTCAGCTCGGTGAAGATGGCACCAGGGAAGAGCCAGGAGGCCTGGGGTAGAGTGCTGGCCACGTGACCTCAGGTGAGAACCTGCCCCTCTCTGGGCCTGTTTTCTACTCTATACGATGGGCACACTCGCTGGCTCCCAGGCTGCCTGGGCTGCAGTCTGTGGTCAGAGGGTGGCGGAAGAGGTGGGCAAGGGTCACAACACGCACATCGAGAGGTCTGTGATCCTGAGAAGCCTGGGCAGGCCTGAGAGGGACACAGGAGCCCTGGGTCCCATCTCTGCCATTTACTGTGGCTTTGGGCGAGTTGCTTCTCCTTTCTAGGGTGTCACGGCTCACCTCATGGGGTGTCTCAGGTGCTGAGACATTAACAATAGCAAATGCTCAGTGTGTGCTGTGGGCCAGGCACTGTGCTAAAGCCCTTTCAGCTGGGTCTATGGCCCATGGACAGTCCTGGCTTGTGCCTGTCGTCCTCACATCCAGTTTGGTTTAATTTTTATTTTTTGTAGAGACAAGGTCTCACTACATTGCTCAGGCTGGTCTTGAACTGCTGGCTCCAGCAATCCTCCTGCCTCGGCCTCCCACAGTGCTAGGATTATAGACGTGAGCCACCACGCCCGGCCCTCATGCTGGCTTAATATTTGTCCTGGACAAAGACGTCCCAGTCTGGATAATAAAGTATATAGTCACATTAACTTTACACACGTTACCTCACGCAGTCCTCACAACCACTCCGTGGAGGCAGGTGCTATCACTTGCCCCATTTACAGATGAGAAAACCAAGGCAACGGGAAGGCAGGTGTCTCACCCAAAGTCCCTTACTTGTAAGCTCTGGACCCAGGCAGTGTGCTCTGGAGTCTCTCAACTCTAAACTGACAAGGGAGCAGTGGAAGTGTACAAATGGGGAACAAGTGTGAGGAGACACAGTCCTGCCACTCAGTCCTGCCGGGGAACTGCCAGCTACCCCACCACCATCATGGGCACCCCTGGCATCTACCCTGCCCCTGGCTCAGTGCCGGGAAATTTATAACCATGTTCTTGTCCAATTTTCAGGGCCACCGTGTGAGGTACAAATGGGGAAAGTGAGGACAAGGAGGCTGGAGGCCCTGTGGGTTCCAGGGTATGAACACAGGCCTGACTGACTCCAGAGCCTGTGTTCTCAGCCACCTCCCTTGGGGCTTCCAGGTGGAAAAGGACAACAGAGCAGCCGCCGCCACCTCCCTCACCTGAACCACTGAGTGCAGTGGCGCCTGCATGGCACGAGGCTTGCCGTCATCCTCCATCAGGCCAGTGGCCACGAAGCTGAAGCCACGAAACAGCTGATGGGCACCAGCGCTAGGGGGGATGCCTGGGGAATCTGTAAGGACAGAGGGGGCTGTGAGCCTGAGGAGGGGCCCTTGACCCCAGGGCAGCCGGCAGAGGGGACCATGAGCTTCCTGGCCTGCCCCAGCAGCTGGCCATGGTGGGAGCACAGGCAGAGCCCGGCCATTGCAGGCCTTAGCCCCGCTGCTCACGTGTGTTTAGACCAGCCCAGTTCTGACGCAGGAGGAACATCAACACTCCCACATCGGCCTCCAGCCCAGGCCAAGACGGTGGCCCCTTCCTGCTGCCTCCTCCCCAGCCTGCCCCCTGAGGTCTGTCCCTTCAGGTCTATCTCTGTACAGCAGCCAGAGGCATGGCTCCAACCACCAATCTGCCGCCCTGCCTGCACCCTTCAAATGCTCCCCTCTGCCCTCAGGAGGGAGCCAGGCTCCTTAGTCTGACAATTGAGGTCCTTGTGACCGTAGCCTCCCTCCCTACCCAACAGCTGAGCCGCACTGGACTTCACGGATCCTTAGAGGGGTCTCTGAGCCACTACACATGCTGTTCCCGCTACCTGGATAATCCACTCCTCTTCTACCGGCCAAGGCTCAGCTCACACGCTCCCTCCTCTGAGAAGCCTTGCCTGGTGCTGCTCCTCTGGCCCCCAGCCCCTGTGAAGCTACACTTGTCACACCGCCCAGCCACTGTCTTCATGACCCTCTCCCAGTGATGGCCTGAGTTACATGAGGGCAGAGCCCGGGGCCTGTCTTGTTCATCATCGATACCCCTGCAGCTGGCACACAGTAGGGACCTGGTACATAATTTGCCAGATAAACACGACAGACTACCTGGAGAAGTGCTGAGCTCCTTGTCATCAAAGGTGTGTAAGCTGCAGTGAGAAAAGTCCCCCTCTGCTAGAACATGCCCAGAACCAACAGTCCGCCCCCGCCCCACTGCCAAAATCGAGCCAAAACGTTAAGATTTACCCAGCTCCCTCCCAGAAGCCCCCTCACTGGCATTTGGCAGCAACCCCAGGGAAGAGTGGGTTTGTGGCTACGCCCATGTTCCAGACAAGTACACTGAGGCCCAGCAGTCAGAACAGCCAAAGCCGATTCTCACGCCTGCCGCTGACCTGTGGGCGCCATCCCCTCTGCTCAGCCAGACTGTCCCTACCACGCAGTGTTGCGGGGTCAGATTCCTTATCCCTGACATGAGGGTGAGCCCGACACGCCTGGTCTCCCCAGTGGGCTGGAAGATGCCCAGGGCAGGGGTCCTGACTCTTCTATTGTGGCCGTAACCACCCACACACCCCCACTCCCTTGCCCGGACACAAAGAGGCCCACAGAGCCCCAGAGTGGGAGAACTGGGCAGAGTGAGGCAGGGACAGTCAGAGTCCCCCAGAACCAGACACTCACCGCCTGTCCACCCACACACCTGGGCCTGCCAGAGTCCCTGCCTCCCTGCCGCCCACAGTGCCAGCCCAGGACAGACGAAGCAGACAAGGGACGTACCCCTGGGTGTGCGGGACGTGAACTCAGTGTCAAAGTAGAAGGTGTCGTCAGGCTGAGCCACGGCTGGCTTAAAAGGTGGCTTGATCTCGCGACGGTACAGCTTCTGCAAGGGCAGTGGGTGCTCTGGTCACCACAGCACCCGCAACAGCCCACCAAGAGCCTCACGCAGGGGCAGGTCCTGGGCCTCAAACAGCACAGGCCACACTGCCCAGCAGATAAGACACAACTGCCTGTCCTCAGGAGGCCAGCCCTTGCTTCCACGGGCAGGCTGTCCACCTCTGCTCCTGCATCTGAGGCCCTTGGCAGAAGGCCCCTCCCACCACCCCTCCCGTGGCCACCATGGCTGGGGCCTGGCCAGAGCCTTGGCGTGGACAGACACACTCACATTCCAGTCAATGGTGGAGTAGAAGACGTGCCGCTTGATTTCCTCTGCCCCATCAGGGCCGGAGCCTGAAAGAGCCCAAATGAAGGGTCTACCCTGGAAGGTCCAACCCCCAGACTGCGCCTCCCCACCCAGCGGCCTCACAGTGCTCTGAGACCAGCTGCTGAGCAGGGGAGAGGATGGGCTCACCCTGCCCTGAATGCACCCAGCCCTGCTGCCCACTCAGCATTTCCCACTTTCTGGAGCTTCTAATGATCAAGCTGCAATGTACTGATGGAAAAAGAAAGGCCCAGAGAGGTTAGGCAACTTCTCCAACAGCAGCCAGGACAGAGGCTGGACTTGTTTTGAGATCTACAACAGGCCCCCACCCATTTCCAACGTAGGCTTCATCTCTGTTCCCCTTATCCTACTGCCCTTTTCAACCACTCGACCCTGTCAAGGACCTGGACTTGACCTTATAAAGCTGGCCATGGACCGGGTGAACCCAGGAGCCAAGGAAGCCAGCACACACTGAGCTCCTACCGCACGCCATGCACGTTCCCATGTTTCGTTTCAGCAGAGCCCTTCGAGCTCAGCATCAATACCTCCCACTAGACGAGGAACCTGGGGCTTGGAGAGGTGGATCACCTGCCCTGGGTCACTTAGCATAAGTGGCACTCATTTGTTCAACAAATATTTATGGAGGGACTGCTGCGTGCCAGGCAGTGGGGACCTGACACAGAGCCGTGGCTGGGACCTGCGCCTCCTGACTCCTGAGCTCATGCTCTTTCTCTTGTGCCAGCAGCCTTGGCGGAGAAGCTGCGTGGGGGCCTCTGTCCTTGTCCCCAGAGGGAATGGGGATGACTCAGTTCCTGCCTTCCCCCTACACACAGGTCAACCCCCCTCTGCAACACCACACATGGAGCCAGAAAGCAGGGTGGCCCGCGGCATTGTCTGCCCACACAAAGGACAACGGCCCCTTTCAGCCCCAGATGTAGCCCCATGGCCCAGACTGCAGCTGGACCCCGCTCCCACCGCCACACCCCTCCCCTGGGCTGGGGCTGCTTACCGAGCCGGTTGGCAGGATTCCGCTTGAACAGGGCCCGCAGGAGGCTCTGGGCTTCCGTGCTCAGAAACTGGGGCATGCCCAGCTTTGCCCTGAAACAGCCCAGGGGCTCATGAGGGCTGAGCCCCACCCCAGAGGCCCGATCTCCCCTCCCCTCTGCCCAGGTCTAGCTCAGTCCAGACAAGCCATGCGCTAGCTCGCTTCCCAAAACTGCAGGGATCTCTCCTGCAGGCCCCAGTGGATGAAAAGGCGGCTCTGGAAGGCACAACATTTAACCCAGGGAGTGTCTCACTGATGGGGAATCTGAGGCCCCTAAACTGGGGCCGGGGCTTGGGCCTGAGGGGCTGGGCAGGGCTCTCCTTACTTCAGAATCAGTGTCATGGTCTCCTTCCGGTCCTTCCCCTGGAAGGGCAGGGAGCCCGTCAGCATCTCAAACTGTGAAGGATAAGGGTCTATCAGGCCCTGGTCCTTGTCTCCCATGCCAACCCTCCCGCTTCACCCAGGCCACTCTGTTCCACAGGGTCCTTGCTGGCCTGCTGTTCGTCAAAGTCCACCTGGAGCAAGAGCTGTGTCTGCCCCTCTCCCCTGCCAACCCAGACCACCAAAAGCAACACGAGCAGCCTGAGGCTGGGGAGAGGCCCAGAGCCAGGTTAAGGGCACCCCAGGTAGGGTCAGGCCTGATCCTTCCAAGGAGGGAAACTGCAGCTGTGTGTAGGGGAGACCAGCTTGGCTGAGAGAGGATAGGGGGAGAGTCTTAGAGAAGATCAATCCCTCACGGTACAGATAGGGAAACTGAGGCCAGAGGCTTGGGCTAGATCCTTTACCCCTGCCTGGGCACTCACCATCAACACCCCATAGGACCACCAGTCCGCACTGTGGGTGTGACCCTGACGGTTGACGACCTCGGGGGCCATGTACTCCACTGTCCCGCAGAAGGAGTAGGCCTTCTTCTCATGGTCAATGGCCTCCTTGCTCAGGCCAAAGTCTGCAGAGAGGAGGGCAAAAGGACACATCCTGAGGACCCCTGCCTTCCTTGCTGCTACCCTTGGGGTTGCACACCCAACCCCTTGCCTAGAGGCCTGACGGCATCACCCCCATGAGATTCAGAGAAAGCGAAGGCTGGAGAGGTTGGCTGACTTGCCCGAGGTTACACAGTAGGGAGCTGGGATTCAAACCCAGCTCCAAGTCTGGGGCCTGGGTTTCTGAGCACTTCCAAGTAAATGACACAGCCTCTAGGGAAGAATCAGCCCTGGCACTCAGCCAAGACGGATCAGGAGCCTGTTCTGCCCTCCCCTAGGGCCCGTGGGGCAGGTGCCCTCCACTCACCTGTGAGTTTGATGTGGCCCTCCTCGTCCAACAGGATGCTGTAACAGAGAGATGGGCCACTGTGTGGGTTCTGGTGGCACCATGAGGCTGTGGGAGTCCGGCCCGGACCCATGGAGATACTCCACTCAGATCTACCTGATCAATGGTGGGTGCTGCGGGTCATGGCAGTGCCTGCAGGTGTCTTGCCTACCTTTTGTTGTTTGTTTTGAGACAGGGTCTCACTCTGTCTCCCGGGCTAGAGTGTAGTGGAGTCATCATAACTCACTGCACCCTCTTACCTTTTTTGCTAATCCTTGAAACAACTACGTGAGGTAGGTACTATTAAGGTCTCATTTTACTAACAAGGAAACTAAGGTTCAAAGAAGTTAAGTAACTCCCTGCAGTCACAGAGCTAGTAGGAAGTGGAGATAGGATTTGAACTCAGGTCTGCCTAACTCTAAAGCCAGATCTCATTCCACCTCATACCTTGCTCCCAAGTTATCATTTGAGGGAATTTAGATATGAAGGGAAATTCTGGAGAGGACTGTAACAAGGAATGACCTTGAATGGTGGCACCTCAGATGTCACGCTAGCGAAAAAGGTAGGTAACACACCTGCAAGGAGGGTGCCTAGACCTTGGCAATGGCAGCGGTAGCAGCTGGGCAGCCCTCCAAGTGAGCCTGCTGCCGTCACCACCCGCTCCACCCACTTGTTCCTCAGACAGCCCAAGAGAGGGGGACACTCCTGGGGAGAGCCACACCCACCCCATCACAGTGACCTTATTCTAGAAGAGGCCTCCGCTGGGGAGGTCTGGGAGGGGGCTCCACTCACTTCTCAGGCTTGAGGTCTCTGTAAATGATGCCCAGGCTGTGCAGGTGGTCCAGGCCCAAAGCCAGCTCGGCCAGGTAAAACTTCACGTCCTCCTCCGTGAACATAACCTACGACAGGTGGGGAGCTTCAGCTGGGACCACCTCTTCCCCAGGAGCCGGTGCACTAGGCAGTCAGCAGCGTCCTTGTCCTGAGGGTCTACCCTGAGAGGACCCTTGGAGACCCCAGGGCCATATACCCTTCTTGCCACAAAGAGGTTTGAATTAAGAAGTCACTAATGTACAAGTCACTCGTTGTGGCATTGTTCAGAAACAGCAAAAGGTGGGAAACAGCCCAAGGGGCCAGGAGAAGATTGGAATAAAGTGTCTCCCCACTTAATGAAGGGCTTCACAGCTATAAACTAGAACAAGGAGTTTCTCCATGTTCTGACAGGGAACAATCTCCAAGATCTGCAATCTTGACAAAAGCAAGGTACCGAACAGGGTATATACGGAATGGCACTTTGTACGTAAGAAAGTGGGGGTAGGGATTCAGAACATACATTAGGTTTGTTTGCAAAAGGAACATGGGGAGGTTTAACAAGAAACCAATAAAAATGTTTACCTATGGGGAGAGGGGCTGGGGGAGGAGGAAGACTTCTCGATGAATATTTTTCTTTTGAATCATGTAAATGTATTACCTATTCAAACATTAAAATAATATTTTAACAATTAAAAAAGAAGTTTGGTTCTCTTTAAAGTTTGAATTATATTAATGGTCCCAGTTTTGATATCTGTCTTAAATCCTTCTCAATCAGTGCAAAATCCTTTTGGTTAACACGTGGGACAGGAATGCTAGAGTCTCCAGCTTTCTGGGCAGCTTCAGGCTTTTCCCCAGTCCTCACAGCCTGCCCAGGGCAGCCCTGGAAGAATGGAGGCGGAGAGGGGAGGGGTGCTCTTAGCTCCCCAGAACCAGGGTGGCATCAGATCCAGGGTCTAGAACTCCTCAGCTCATCAAGGGCACTGCCACTGGACACGTTCTTCACAGGGCCCTAGGATGGAGCTGGGGATGGGACAAGGCCTCTCCCTGGGAGGGTGGCCTCTTCGTACCCCCAGCTCTATCCTGGGGCCCCCTGGCAGTGGGATTTCAGCTCACCTCTTTTGAGAGCCGTGTGAAGAGGTCTCCACCACGCAGGAAGTCCAGGATGAGATAGAGCTTGCCCTCGGTCTGGAAGGCTGGGGAAAAGGGAAAAGCAACGGCAGAGTCAGCTGGGCCCCTCCAGGCCTGACTCCCTGGGCCTGCAGGTGGGAGGGGCACAGCGTGCAGCGAAGGCAGCAGACCACGGGCAAGGGCGAAGGCTGGATGGAGCAGGAGCTCAGGTGGGGCCTCGATCTCACCGTAGTGCAGCTTCACCACAAACGGGTGGTTCACGTCAGCCAGGATGTCTCTCTCCATCTTGGTCCGAACACGGTCACGCACTGGCCAGAGGAGAAGGGAAGTCACGGAGAGTCTGGGCACCCAGCACAGCCACTCGCAAGGCCCAGCTAAGGGCTCTCTTTACCACTCGTCCCTCCAGGCCTGAGCTCCTGCAGCTCCCTCACCCAGGGTTTCAGGCACACTCAGTTTTCAGATTCCCTCCTTCCTTCCCAGTCTGTTTCTGGCTCTGTGTCCTGCCCGCTGTCCCCAGCCCTCATGGCAGTGCCTGGGCCTCGGTGCCCTGACCATCTCATGGGCCCTGTCTCCCCCACACCCCACCAGGGGCCATTCAATCCAGCCAGTCTGCGCAACTCGCTGCCCCGCTGCCCTGTAGTCTCAGGTCCCCGACTTTGCCTCTGTGCCTCCGCCTGTGTCTTCGCCAGCCCCTCTCCTGGCACAAAATTCCCAAATTCTAGTCCAGGGCCTGGTGAGAACAGCCTCCTGGGAGCGAGAGAAGCTGATTCCCTGGGCCTAAATTCCTAATTCACGGTCTAGGTGGGCATCCCTCACACATTTTTTTTGAGACAAAGTCTCGCTCTGTTGCCCAGGCTAGAGTGTAGTGCCGTCATCATAGCTCACAGCAACCTCAAACTCCTAGGCGCAAGGGATCCTTTTGCCTCAGCCTCCCGAGTAGCTGGGACTACAGGCATGTGCCACCATGCCTGGCTAATTTTTTCTATGTATTTTTAGCTGTCCAGCTAATTTCTTTCGATTTTTTAGTAGATATGGGGTCTCGATCTTGCTTAGGCTAGTCTCAAACTTCTGAGCTCAAACGATCCACCTGCCTCGGCCTCCCAGAGTGCTAGGATTGTAGGCATGAGCCACGGTGCCCAGCCCACATTTTTTTTTTTTTTTTTTGAGACAGGGTATTGCTCTGTCACCCAGGCTAGAGTGCAAGTGGTATCATCATAGTTCACTGCAAATTCCTGGGTTCAAGCAACCCTCCTGCCTCAGCCTCCTCAGTAGCTGGGACTACAGGTGTTTATTGCACTTGGCTAATTTTTTCTATTTTCGGTAGAGATGGGGTCTCACTCTTGTTCAGGCTGGTCTTAAACTCCTGACCCCAAGAGATCCTCCTGCCTTGGCTTCCCAGAGTACTAGGATTGGCTGTGAGCCACATGCCCAGCTCCCTCACATACTTTAAAAAAAAAAAAAAAGAATACAAGTTGCCAGGCATCAGCAGGTTCTTTGACTCAGTTCAGGCCTCACCTAGCTGGGCGAGGGCCTCTGGGCTCCTGCAGCACCAGGGCTTCCCCTTCAGAGCACTTCTCACCCTCCATTTCAGTTTTGTGTTTCCCTCACTACACAGCAGCGACCACACTGGAGTTAACTACTTTCAAACCACCCCTACGCTCTTGCCCAGGCAAACAGTTCCTCCTTCCCAGGGGACCCTTCCTCTACCATTTTTGGTCTGGAGAGCTCCTCACTCACCCTTCAAGGCACAGCCCACATGGCTACTCCTTAGGTGTCCCCTGACCTCTGAGCCTACCCTCTCCGAGGCTACCTCCCCCGGCCCGAGGCTCCCCGGCCCTCGGACACCCGCGCACCCCAGTCACAGCATGGGCTGTGCTGCACTGCCACGGCGTGTCTGGCCTCTCCTACCCAGCCTGTGAGCCCTTCACACCAGGGACCAAGTCTTCACCTTTCTCCTCCCCCTGTGGCTCCCACCGTCCCTCCTGAGGGACAGCTCACACCACCATCAGGCTGGCCTTAGGGCACTAAAGCCACCTGTGACATCCTTAAAGCCAACACTGCCTATGTTCCCCCATTCACATCCCCCCAGCCAGGGCTTGGCTCTGACTTCCCCTGGTCAGCGGCCGCACTAGCTCCCAGCCCTGTTAGAGTTAGTGTCCAACCCAAAGCCCACCACCAACCATCCTCACACCTGTGTAAGGCCCTGGAACTCTAGACCTGGCTCGGGGCCCCCTCTGAACCTCCCTGCCATCCAGCTCCATGGCGCTGCCTTGACCCATCCTCTCTCACCTGGGCCAGCTACCCCCCTGGACTGTCTGCCTCTTCTCCCACACCCTTCTCTTCCCAGAGCTCAGGGCCACAGAGGTCACCCTCAGACTCTTCTAGCATCGTGAAGCAACTCTGCTGACAGTCAGAATGCCCGCCTGACCAGCTTGGGCTCTGAGGGCTCCCTCTTCCCCCACAAGCACATTACACTCACCCCACTACCTCCTTCCAGACGTTCACAGCCACAGTCCCTGGCACTTGGTCCCTGGCTTAGTGGGGGAGAGGTTGGGGTCAGGGCAGAGGGGCTGAGAATAGGCCTCTTTCTCCACCTCCAAACTAGGTGCCCCTGAAGACAGAGCTGTCTCCTCACCAAGCCCTTGAGGTCCGGGCGGCCTCCCTCAGCCCAGTGCTCAGCCTGCGCTCCACGCAGGCAGGAACCCCACTCACCTTTCAGGGTCGCCTTCTTTAGCACCTTCATGGCATACAGGTGCCCACTATCGGGCCGGGTGACCTTCCGCACCAGGAAGACCTGAGAGAGCAGAGGGGAAAGAGGGAAGAAGCTGGGAAGTGGCTGAGGCTGCCAGCTCCTGGCCTCCAGGTCCCCAGCCGACCTCTAACCTCCCAGGGCCCCAAGTTGACCTTCTGCTCTCCTGGGTACAAAAGTGGCTTCTTATCCTTGTCCGCTGATACTGTGGGCCCCAAGGTGACCCCTGCCTCTGACATGACCAGCGCTGCCCTCCCAGCCGTAGGTGCATGACTCACTTTGCCAAAGGATCCCTGGCCCAGAACCTTGAGGAGCTCGAAGTGGGATGGATCCGCCTTCTCGGCACCGGCCTTGACGTGGTGCGTGATGGCGATCTCCTTGAGGACGCCCTCATCCTGATGGAGGGACACAGCTATGGGCACAGTGGCCCTGACCAGGGACTCAGGGGACATATCCCCCCACCCAATCCCCTCAGACAGGCCTGCAGGCCCACAGACAACAGCCCTGACAGGGCCAGCGTCCAGGTTCACTGGCATCGAAGGGTCTCAAAGGCTGGGAAGGTCACATCAGACAAGGAAGCACCTCTTTGGCTCCCGCTGCTCCGGCCTGGCCAGGCCCAAAGGGATGGCCAGGCATGGCCGGGCTGAGCCAACTCCCGGCTCTGGCTGAGGCCCGGACACCTGCCCCAGGTCCAGCCTGTGGGGCTCCCCTCCCCCTTCTGCTTTGGTTTTGCCACAGTAGGAAGTAGGGTTTCTCTCATATGGGGATGGAGAGCTGGGCCTTTGTTCCTGGTCAGGGTGAGATGAGAGGAGCCCTCTGTTCTGTAGGATGTGGCTGCAGTGCGCAGAGACCCAGGAGTCACCTGGATGCCCCCACTGTCAGTTTCCAGTGTGTCGGAGTTAAGGCTAGAGACTCCATGCCCACCTACCCAAACTTCCCTCATACAGGCCTACTAGAAGGCCCTTGCCAGGTCGCAGTGTTCTAGGACCCTCTACCCTCCCTCCAGTCTGCCACTATTGCCCTGAAGTGACTCCTTACTTCCCCAGGAAGCAAGTCTAGGCAGGGTCCAGTCACTCAGCAGAGCCAGGCCTGGGCCAGGAGAGCCCAAAGCCAGCTTAGGCCAAACTGGCCTCCCAGGCATCTGCTCCAAGGGCCACACACAGGCCAGGACCAGACATCCAGGCACACTCACCGAGTCCCGCTGGGGGCCAGAGCCAGGGCGAGGGGCAGGCAGAGAGGTCTGGCTGATCCTGGGCCGCTGCTTCCTGGGCAGCCAGGGGAGCAGGGCCCAGAGCCGCAGACGGGGCGGCTTGGGATCCTGCTCCATCCGCCCAGTAGGGCCACGGCACCATGGCAGGAGCAGGCAGCCTCCGGGGCTGCCGCGGAGGTGGCTGGGCCCAAGGCGGATGTGCAGGGTAAGGGCGGGGGCTGGGCCCGGCCCAGGACAGCCAATCACTCAGGGCCTGTGGTTTCCTAGCTCTAGGTCTACACCCTCACCACGTTCCCTTCCTCTCTCTTCTCCCCCTCCCCAGTGCCTAAGGGCTGCCCTCTGGCCGCTACCCCCATCCTCCCTGTGGGCCCGCATAGGGAAAGCCCCATGTCAACCCAGCTACGGAGTAGATAGGTACCCAACGGGCAGAGACAGCCGCCACCATGTAGAGGCAGATAAAGAGAGACACCCAACAGGCAGAGGCAGGCACCCAACAGGTGGAGACAGATAAAGACTGGCATCCAACAGGCAGGGGCAGGAGGGTACGCATCCCCAAAAGGCAGGGATGGATAAAGACACGTACGTACCCAACAGGCAGAGGTGGAAGCAACACATATCCAATAGGCGGAGACAGATGGGGACATGTACCCAACAAGGGGAAGCAGGAGGGGACTCATATCTAACACAGAGGGGGCCAGAGACTTGTACCCAACATGCCGAGGCAGATGGGCATACACATCCAACAGGTAGTGACAGAAGAGGGCAGGAACCCAACAGGCAGAGGACAGAAGAGGACACAAACTCGACAGGCAGAGACAAAGGGGGACATGAACCCAACAGGCATGGACTGATGGGGACATGTATCCAACAGGCAGAGATGATGAGGACACAAACTCGACCGGCACAGATAAAAGGGGATATGTACCAAACAGGCAGAGACAGGTGGGGATACACCCAACAGGCACCCAACATGTGACATGTCCCCAACAAGTGAAGACAGGCACTCATCAAGTGGAGACTGAGGCAGGAACTCCACGACAGAGACAGATAGGCAGCAGAGACAGCCAGAGTCAGGGAGTCCCAAGCAGACTGACAGATGCCAGGGCAGATAGAGTCTGACACCTGGCACATAGGCAGGCAGCACAGCAGGGATCCCCAGGAAAGGGTTAATGGCAGACTTTTGTCCCTGGGGGTGGGAAAAGAGATGAGGGGACACAGCCTACAGACCCCCAGCACTCAGGAAAGCCGTCCACTATCTGTGGCAGACCCATCTATGAGGTCTTCCATTTCCCTAGGATTTTCTTCCTGTGCCAGGGCCTGCAGGGGCATCTCCCAAGTGTAATCTGATGGCTTTGACTCTGATCCAAATAGCCTAAAAGCTGTTAGCCCCATTTTAGGAATAGGAAACTGAGGCCCAGAGGACAATGACTCACCCAGGCTCAAAGCAAACCAGTGGCAGAGCCAACCTGAAGTCAAATACCTCCCCTGGTCACTGCCTGGCTTGGGGTCAACAGGCCTTAAGTGCCAGGAAAGGGTGGGCAGGTAAGTCGGCCAGAGCCACTTCCTGCCCACCCAAGCCCACCCTCTCCCTGGGTACTAGGGTCAGCCTGGGACTTCCCACTCTAGGTTTTAGCCCTCAGAGACACACCCTATCTTTAGGGGGCCCTCCCTGACAGACAGGAGACTGTGTACAACAACCCCACAAGAAAACCAAAAAGCTGTGGCTAATCAGCTTCTGGTAGGACAGGCAGGAAGCCTGGCTCAGAGAGGGGCTGAGGTGGGCCAAGCCCACACAGCAGCCCCTGCCAACCCCACCCTGAGATCTGAGCCTCCACCGCTTCTGTCTGCTTCTGACTGAGAACACTCCCTGGGGACAGAGGCAGCCACCCGGAAACCCCAGGGGACAGAGGCACCGACAAACCCATTCCTTGCCCAGGGTCATGGTGACAGACACTGCTGGAGGCAGGCCACCCTTCTGCTCACCTTTCTGGGACAGAGGACCGAGTCTCTCTCAACCCTGGGGAAATCTGCCGGGGTCTGCATGGTGGGGCCCAAGCCAGTGGCCAGAGGCCCCGCTACTACTCTTACTTCTGCTTTTCTTAGCCTTCCTGGCCCAGAAGGCAGGGTCCTTGTCCCCCCTCCTTCTCACTTCCCCCTCTGCAGGGAGGAGGGACAGAGGTGGGCCAGGCTCCCCTGCTAAGGAGGGGACAAGCAGACCCCAAGCCATGACCCCAGGGAGGGCTGGGGTATACCCCTTCCTCCCTCCTCTGACCCAAAGGAGAGGAGACAGAAACAGAAGTCACAAGGCGAGGAGGCCAAGTGACACAGGGGGCATCCCAGTACCCGAAAACATCCGCAGGGGGAACACAGGGCAGAAGTCAGCAAGGCCACAGTCTGACTGCCCCTGCCCAGAAGAGGCAGCCCCCAGGCTAGGCACCACCAGACCCCACCCTGCCCTTGATGCCTCCCACCAGTCCAGAGCCCTGAGTTGGCAAGGGGACAGAAGGCCACCGTAGCAAGTGACCAGTTGTGGTGGCTCATGACCGTAAGGAGCCCAGAGAGGGAAGATCACTTGAGTCTGGGAGTTTGAGGTTGCAGTGAGCCATAACAATGCTCCTACACTCTAGCCCAGGTGACAGAGTGACCCTGTCTCAAAAAAAGACAAAAAAGAAGGCAGCCAGAGGCCTGGGAAGAGGAGGAGCCAGCGGTTTGAGGGCAGGCGTTGGCCAGGCCCAGCCCCCACGTGGCCCGCCCCCTCACTCACAGGAGCACACCCCAGGAACTGACACGCGCACTCAGGCTGCTGATCGGAAGCCCTTTCCACAGACATCCCCTATGGAGAAACGCGCCCCAAGCACACAGACTTCCCCTCAGTGCTCCCGGTACTGACAGCGTCTCTGCAGGGGCCTGGCTGCAGGGATTGTGAAAGAGGCCTCCCTAGACTCGGCCTCTCCGTGCCCCCCAGCTTCCTCAGGCCGAGGTTGGGAGGCTGGGGCAGCCCTGGGAAACCCAAAGGTCTCTGAGGAGCCAGCACCAGCTCCCCTGACACGCCCGGAGCCTCAGAAGCAGAGGGAGAACCTCTGTGGCTACCAGGGTACCAGAAGGGGCAACAGGAAGGAAACAGTCTCAGAACTGCCTTTGCTGAAGGGTGTGTGGGGCCTGAGGCCTCTGGTGGCAGGACTGGGGGGGGAGGACAGCCACCAGCCCACATCCCTTGGTCCCTGCCCCAGCCCCCGACAGGCACTTCCTCTTTATTCACTTCCTCTCACAGAACAGCTGGGAGAAGCCCAGAGCCCCCTAGCCAGAGCCCTGGCCCCTAAGGTCCCCACCCTGGGCCTTACTCTGCCAGCTGTAGTGAGCCCACCTGCCAATCCCTGGCCCTAACAGACACCAACAGCCCCTTCCCCAGCTGGCAGCATGTGCAGGGCCTCCCAGGTGCTGCCCCCTCTGGTGGGACATATGTCCTCGGATGCATCTCCCAGCATGCCTCCGGGCAGGTGAGGAGGGGTCCAAAGCTCCCAGACATCTTTGGGTGGGGACAGGTCTTGGGCACTAGGTCAGGACTAGCACAGTGTGATGATGAGACCTGTGCCTCCTACTGAGCATTTAATGCTCTTGGCCATTTTTTCCTTTAACTTCTGCTGAAGTGGATTCTGCCAGCGTCTGTTTGGCACCAGGTCTTAGCTCCAGGGGAGGTATTGCCATCCCCATTTCAGAGATGAGAAAACTAGACTCAGAGAGAAAGTGACTTGCCAAGGCCACATACCTAGAAAGGGGGACAGCCAAGTACAAAATCAAGGTCTGTTTGCTCCCAGAGCCTACACTCATAAGCATTTCATCACCACCGTCCCTGAAAGGCTGGCCAGCCTGCCTCCCCTCCGGACATCACTTACTTCTCCTGGCCCCTGCTCTGTCCCAGGCCAGGAGCAGACATTAGGAGGCACAGGTGCTAAGGCAGACCCTGGCCTTGTCCTCAGGTAGCTCCGAAAAGTAATTCATGATAACAAAACACAACTATCCTGTGACATCTGCAGTCAAGGTGTTGTGGAAGCCCAGATGTGGTGACTGTCTGCCAGGGGGTGAGGTCTGGAAAGCTCTTCCAGAGAAGGGCAGTGCAGCTGGGCCCTGAGGATGAAAACAGGTGTTGGCCAGGCAGAGAGGAGGAAAAAAGACACTCCAGGTGTCTCCCTGACCAGCGTGAGCAAGGCGCTTGAGGCCAGGAGTGCAGGTGGGAAGTCAGGAACTGGCTACTCACTAGCTGAACGTTCCCTTGCAAATCTCTTTCCCCGTCTGAACCTCAGTTTCCTCCTCCATAAAATGAAGGTTAAGACTACATGCTCCACTGTCCATCTAAACTGCCTGCTAGGCTCAAACCACCTGTCTACTTGTGTTTACTTTGCAGTCCTGAGGATAAAGTGTATGCATACGCACGTGAAAAAAAAAAAAAAAAAGACTACATGCTCCACCCTCAGGTTTTTTCTAGAAGCAAAATGGGCCATGGAGACAGAGGGACATGGCAAACAGAATTTCCCCTTGGTTTAGTTAGTCTTACTGCTCAGGGTCTCCCCTGGGCAGGCCACAGGGCCCAGGTGCTGGGAGGGTGGGCTGGCCTGCTCTGGCCAGACCAAGGGAAGTTCCTCCCAACACCTGAGGCTGCCCGAGGCTCACTGAAGTCCATAGTCACATCCTGCCTAAGCTCTGGCCAGGGGAGCATGAGGGATCCAGGAGGGATCAGGGTTTCATAAACAGGAAGAGAGGAGGGGAGGGGGGACGCTCAGCTCCCAAAATAGACCTGCAGGCACTTCAAAGGGGTCCAGCTCCGGAGACAGCTGAGGGGAGAGGGCCTGGGGTGCCCAGTCCCCTCCCAGGAAGGGAGGGGAGTGAGTGGAGCCCCAGTGTGCCTGAGGATGCCAGAAGCACCCAGGTGCTAAAGATCCGGGGGCTCTCACTGTGGACCTGCTGTCCACACTATTGCTGCTAAAACTCAGATCCCCCTTTCTGCCTGAAATGAATAAAATAAACAAGCATTAAACACCAACATTGTGCTATATACTTTAATTTATACCCATCACATTCTCTCTTCCAGTGGCCCTGAGAGGTGGGCTCTACTCTCCTTTTACAGGAAAAGAATCTGAGCCTCAGAGGGGCAAGTTACTTTCCCAAGGTTACAAGGCAAATGAGAAACAGGAGCAGGATTCCAAACTCAGAATGCATGATGCCTGAGTCCCCTTCTCTGTCCCTTCTCCACCTGGAAGGCACAATTCTTTCTCTGGCTGCAAAAATCCTGTCTTTTGAGGCCTAGCCAAATGCCAGCTCCACAGAGAAGTGGCCCAGTGCCCCAGAGCCCACTCCAACTCTTCCTCCTCTGCACACAGAGCAGTGACCATGTGTCTGGTTCACATTCTGCCAGCACAGGACCTAGCGCAGAATGGAGGTTCTGTGTGCCCACGGCCATGTCCTTCCCCATCACAGTACCCACCATCTGGCTCTCCTGTCTCCACCCTCCACCCAAAGACTCGGAGCTCCCAAAGGGTGGGTGGGTGTTGACTGCATTTTAAGGCTCCCCAGCGCCACACAACTGGGTGCCCTGAATGTGTGATGAAGGATGAACTGGCCCATTGCCCGCTCATCCCACTGCACAGTGATGAGGTCCTGACCACAGGGTGAGCGCCCCCTGGTGCATTAAGCCCAGTAGTGGGGATTAGGGACAATGGTGGCTGGGGCCACAGAGATGGGTGAGCCAGTACCCAAGACTGGCAGTGCTTGGGATCACAGAAACCCAACGCTCCTCTTCTTCAGCACTTGGGGTTCCCTGGGCTATAAGGAATGTGGGCTCTGTGGTCAAACAGGACTTGACTTCATCACCCACCAGCTATGCAACATTGAACCTCAATTTTCTCATCTGTAAAATGGGGATAGTAACAATTTGTCTCTGAGACTATAGTAAGAACCAAAGGCAAAGCTCCTGGTATAGTGCCAGGCATGGGTTAAGCTCTTTCTCTTCCTTAATGTGGCATCCAAGACTCTTTGTCCCACCCATCTCCAGCCTTGCCTCCAGGTCCACCCCAGGCCAGGGCCTTCTGCTCTAGGGCAGGAGTCATAGGCTTGGGAGCAAATGGAGGTTACCTGCCTGTAAAGGTCCTGCCCTCTCTCAGTCAACCCCTCTAGCTCTTAAGGGGAGAAGCTGTGCTCACCACCAGCTCCCTAAAAGCTGCAAGCTCCTCTGCAGCCCCCAGAACCTCAGCCCCGAGATCTGAACATCCTGGTTCTTCACTGGGGACCTACAGTCCCTTTGTTTGGTTACTGGGCAGCAAGAGTATTCTCCACACACAGGCTGAGCTAAGCCAAGGGCCCAGTTCACTCTACTGACCAGCCTCTGAGGACCCAAGGTTGCAGAGGACGGGGGAGGCTACTTCTCTCACCCTTCCCCACCCACCAGCTCAGATACCTTATCTTAGGAAGCTGAGTCAAGGTAAACATCAGGACCAACCCTGAATCCAACTCAAAGGTCAAGTTTATGGCAGGTGTG